AGCACTATCACTGTGCAGACAGAGTGCCCAATACTAAAATGTATAAAAGAGGCACCTGAAATGCCTCCATAAATTAAAACACAACTGTAAATTTCACACTATGTATTGGGTGAATTTATTCACTCAAGAATTTAAAATGCAGCTATAAAATTCACATTAGCTCCTGAAAATAACTTAGGGCGGTTGATCTCAACCTGTGGTGTGCAGAGCCACAATGCTATCACAGGGGGTGTCTATGGAGATTCTCAGTCATCCAGGTCATGGTGGTCCCAAAGGTGCTTTTTCAAGAGGCAATTGGACTTTTTGGTTTTTCTTTGAAGACATTTCACTTCTCATCCAAGAAGTTTCTTCAGCTCTGACTTGATGGTGGGGAGTGGAAGGATTTTTACTCCTTGCAGACAGCTGGACATTTACATTCTTTTAGAGAGTCATTGAAGCTACTTGGAGGCTCACCTGCATTACCTGAGTAGTACAGATGGGTGTGGAGTGGCTTCAATGACTCTAAAAGAATACAAATGACCAGTTGTCTTCAAGGAGTATAAATCCTTCCACTCACCATCATCCAGTCACAGCTGAAGAAGCTTCTTGGATGAGAAGCGAAATGTCTTCAAAGAAAAAAACAGAAAGTCCAGTTCTCTCTTGAAAAAGCACCTTTAGGACATCAAGAAACATTATGATTTAAATCTTGATTTAAATCTTGTGTGTGTGTGGGGGGGTGCTAGCCATGGTCCATACCCACAAAAGATATTTAGTGAAGAAAAGATTGAGAACCACTAGCCTAAAAGGAAAGACTTCAGAATTTTCTGGACTTCCTGAAAAGAGGACCATGTCTTCCTGCTATGAGAGCTACCACAGTGAGGACTTGCTTCCTAGTCTGTGTTGTGCTCACTTCTTGCCAAGGTGGGACCATGAACAGACTCTCTCTAGAGGTCTACAGAAGGAGAACAAAGCCATATTAGTTGAGGGAGTTCTTTATGTATCTTTGTGCTGTGCCCACAAAGGGGTTGAAATGAAATAACCTCTACTGTGAACCACAAACAGCCTGGTGATAAATGGATTTTATCCCAAGCACAAGCTGGGTTTTCTCTGCTGACCTTCTGGCTATTCTGTGGTATACTACTTTCTGAGGAAACCCAACATAAACCTATTGCAGTAGGTATGTGGCAAAAAAGGGCAAGGATCGCCACTGTTAAATAATCACAAAAGGCAAAAAAAAATCACTTGTTTATTGATGAAGCATTGGTAATTTATTTAAAGAGGCATCCAACTGAATTAAATGAGGATAAGTTTCAAAAGAATACACATTTTTGGGCAGATTTTGGAGAGATATCTGGTGCTTCCTGTCTCTTTCCAAGACAAAAAAAAAAAATGTCTGTGAAGAATTTCCTCTTAAATCTTCTTTCCATGTCAGATGATCAGTGTTGATGTACAATTTAAAATAGATCAGGACACAAAATTCCATATTTACAGCAGGCTGATTTTCCCCTTCTGCAAAGATTTATTTCCTGCACCTCTTTGTCTCTTTTAAAGTATGTGTTTTTTCTTAATATAAAGAATGCTTTGTCTTCTAAGGTTTGTGGGGGATGGAATTTGAATTTTCTTTTTAAAAAAAAAAAAAAAAATCTGCTTTAAAAGTCACACGTGGTTGCAATTTAAGAATTTTTTTTAACCTCCTTGTCCGTAACAGTTGAAAGAAACATTCAGTGAAAGTTTATTAACTAAACTAGACTGATGCCTGAGGCTATAAAGATTCATTTATTATCAATTTCTTGACTGTTTTTCTTCTTCTGTTTTTGGGTTAAACTCCCAGTGTAAGATAATACCTCACAAAATTAAACCTTTGACCTTCTCCAGAGTTAAGTCGCCTTTGATTAGATAAAGTAACAATTTATAGCCCACCTTGTGGATCTGGTGAAATGAATAATGCAGCAGCTTGAAAAATGACGAAGAACCTATTGCTTGAGAAGACAGGACTGCTTAGATTAGAGAGAGGACAGTGTTAATTGAATTGTTTTGATTTGGTATGCACATCTGTAAGACCTCAGAAAATGCATTCCTTGTTTGTTCTATATCACATTGCTGGATTTTGAGAATACTTCCCTTTCATTTCATCTTGGGTAGAATCTCGTGACTGCATGTTACCCCAAAGTAATTCTGATTTTAGTGAAATTTACTTTTATTTATGCAAAATCTGGCATGAATAACATCTGGAAGAGTAAAAGTAAAATGCAGATAAGCTAACTCAGTAATTTTTCCAATAGCTACTGATGGTTGAGAAACTTAGACTCTGAAAAAGGCAGGTAGGAAAGGCAGGTAGGAAAAGGCAGATAAGTGGGCACCTTTGAACTATGGGAATGGAGGCGACTATTACGCATCCTATGCAGAGGTGGTATTCAGCCGGTTCTGACCAGTTCTGGAAAACCAGTAGCAGAAATGTTGAGTAGTTTGGAGAACCAGCAAATCCCACCTCTGACTGGAGATTTTACAGTATCCTTCCCCTGCCACGCCCACCAAGCCACACCCACAGCACCAGTAGTAAATTTGTTTGAACCCCACCACTGGGTTGAGGCCTCATTTAGACTAGAGTGTGTGTGTCTGTTTGTGTGTGTTTGTTTGGTTGTCAGTGAGTGTCTGGCTGAAGTTGTGACTTGACCTGAGGTGGAAGGCTTGAAAGATTCTTGAATTGAGTTATAATCCAAGTTCACTTCTGCTCTTCCAAGACTCCTTAAAAAGACTTTTGTGCACGAGTCATTGGAAGGGAAGGCTCCTTCAGAACCACAATTATTGGGCAAGATTTTACTTTTGGATGTTTTTCTTTGTGAATAGAATTATGGGACAAGATTAATTGCATACCGTAAGAGCTTTACATGAAGAGCTGTGTGTGATAACATTAAACTTCTAAGTCTGTCACATGGGGGGAAAGCTGTTAGGTTTAATGAATAAATGTAATGCCTAAAATGCTTCAGCTAATTTTTTTTAATTCTGTTGCTAGCGATCTTTATTGAAGAAAAAAAAAAAAACCACACACACACAATATTTTATATTTTATCTGTCGGTTGGGGTAGTAGCAATTTTGTATTCCTTCGCCTTGCTAATCTTCTGGTTCCACAGAAGTAAACAATAGATTTCATAAATTAAAAATTATGTGCTCCAGAACATGCATCTAAAAATTAAAAACAACAAAAACAACACACAAGGCTGTAAACATTTATGACTGAGACAAACTAGATTGTTCAAACATTGCCATGATGCATCCTGGATAGCAATATGGCAGCAATATCAGTTAGAATGCAAACAAGGTTTTTAAATGATGCGGCTCTTCCATTTCAGCTGGAGAATCTATTCTATACCATCTGCCTATCAGATGGTTAGGAAGCAGGGTTGCGTATTAATGCCACATGCTGCCTTCTCCTTCTAATGGTTAGATTCATATTGCTAATGGCATCGTCGATGAAATTTGTGTGACGCTGGAGTGATGAGATATTTATAAAGTGGCTTGTCTCCCTGAATAATCAGCAGGAAAAATGCTAGACGTAAACAGATTATCAATTTCGGGATATTAATGATAACTGCAATAGGCTTTCTTCACCGTTATTTACATCACCTCCCACACCAATACCTCTCAAACTATTTTTTTTTAAAAAGGGGGGAGGGATTTCAAATTCCCTTTGCAAATTACTTTTGGGGGGGGCGGATTCTGAATGCGATATAGTAAGCCCCATGATGAAATTCATTCATTTATTTAATTTGTCTCCTTGATTGTTATTATTTGTTTTTTACAAATACTTCAGAGTGGTGAACCTATTCAACACACTTTTCCTCCTATTTTCCCCACGACAACAACTTGAGGTAAATAGTGAGATTTAGACCTAGGAGCAAATGAGTGGCATGGTGGCTACTAGGAAGGTTCCTACTCGGAAGGTTGAGAGTTCGATCCTAGGTAGTGGCAGATGTTTTTCTATTAGGGCACAAAGAGAAAATATCTGCTGTGAACTCTGCATAGTAAACACTCTGCTCCAATCAGTTGCTCCAACTTTACCCATAAAAAGGGAGAGATAGGGGCAAATAGCTGGGATAATGAGATTGCCTTCCCCCTTCCTTTCCTGAAAAAAATAGCATAAATATTTCATCTCATGCACTTCTTGATGGACTGTTCTACACTAACGCTATATAGTATCTCCAGCTTCTGAATTTTTCAAATTGTTGTTTTCAGTTATGATATTATCATAGCCTCTATTATCCCGATCCTTTTTCAGAGGTAGGTTGAGTGCGAGCTGGGGACTCTGGGCATTGTAGTTCTTTTTAATTTTTCTGAATTTTGGAGGGGGGGCTTCTGAGGGTTTTGCTTGTTTTATAAAATTATGTTAAAGTTTGCATTGCATGTGAATTCTAATGTATTTCAGTGTTCCTGATTTCTAGCAGCTGGAGAAAAAGAGCAATCTGCTTTTAGATGGTATGTCACAGACCTTAATATTGGAATAAGAGAAATGGGAAAAGAACAGACAGAGCCTAAACAAATGGACTATCTTATACATGACATAGTTTACAACGAACAAACAAACCCTTTGCTTTCATTTCCTGGTTTAGTCTAGGAGATATATCTTCTTTTGAATGTGGAATTCAGAACAGTGTCTACTATTTCTCAGGTAAAAACACAAGGGCCCAAATCTAGGTTTAATTCAGTGAAATTAAAGATAACTAATCTATTTTATCCTAAGTAAAAATGACCATCTGTAGTCTCCATGATTTCAACTGGTAGATTCTAAGTAGGGCTAAGCAGGATTGGAGCTGATTGACTAAAAAAACACAGGAGGCCATTTTACATACCTTATTTGGCCATGAAATCCTTGAGAAGTTTGCTGTCACTTCCAGAAGATGATTTTTCCTCTGTCCTTTTCTGCCTTAAGAACTTGATCACTATTTCCCAGAAAGAGGGTGATGTCAAAGGGAGAGCGGATAGAAGTTGTGATTTCATGGTTGTTATTCCCCTTTCGTTGTAGGTCTGACAGCTGCGGCTGCTGCTGCGGCCGCGGCCACCAATGCTGCCATCGCGGAAGCAATGAAGGTGAAAAAAATTAAATTAGAAGCAATGTCAAATTACCATCCCAATAATAACCAGCACGCAGCAGAGTCTGAAAACGGGGACCTAAATTCTGCTGTGGGTAAGTTTTTGATCTAAAAGACACAATTAATTTTGTTTCTACCTGGAAACTGCTTATGGACTTTGTTCCTGAGATGGAAAAAAAATGAATCTTTGATTTTGAGTTTTACCGATTAGATAGGTTCATTGTAAAAAAGCAAAAGTTGAGATTTTATGCTATTAATTTCTTCTGCTGCACCAATGCTTTTCTTTTCCTGTCCTCTTTTACCCTACATTTTTCTCTCTTCCCCTTTTCCTCCCTTGTTTATTTTTTTTTTACTTCTTTATTTGATATTTTGATCAACTAATACAAATTTCGAAAGCAGAAGTTTCTGATTGGAAAGAGAATTGTTGCAAAAAATCCTTGCTTTTAAAAAAGCAGGAGAAATTACAGCTTAATTTCTTCTTCTTTGTTTTCCTTTCAGCCTGTTTTGTTTTAAACACTGTTATTTTTCCAAGTTATTTTATTTTCATATTAACACACTCTAAATATACTATCTGAAAATGCACTGTTCAGTAAAGCTGTCAGGACATCCATCCATCCTATGGAAATAATCAACAGTTTTACTTATTTCCAGGGTAACATTTTAAAAAATGTTGGATTCATTGTTCCTGTTAACAAATTGAGTTAAACTGGACCAGCTAAAATATAGAATTCAGATTCTGTTTTTAGAAGACAAAATTCTGCCTATTTAAATCCCAGGTCAGCTGAACAAGTCCTGCCTACCTAAATGCTCCAGGTTGACTGAACAAAATTCAATTAGTGGCTATTTTGATCATATGGGCACCTAAAATTATGTTGTTTTTTCCCTCTCTGTGTTTCATATTTGGAACTTTTGACAACATTTTCACTCTCCAAAGTTGACGGATTCACAAGATGTGGCTTCTCCATGCAGTTGATTTTTCTTTTCTTAAATATTCCTTTAATGACCACTGACTTTATTTCTTTCTAATGGCTGCTTTCTGCTCTCTGAGGTAAATTAGTGAGTGAACTGAAAGCTGAATTTGAATCCTCTTAACTGCTGTTCAAGACAGAGGTTGCATAGACTTAAACCAGACATGACAATCTAATATATACTTTTTCTATTCTGCAAATTTTTGAGGTTATTCTTAAGGGTGACAGCTTGACAACTTTTTTGTTCTGGATCTCCCTGTACATATTTATTATTTAACTCCTACCCAGGAACAAAAGGAGCACATATGCCCATGTCAGCAGATTTCAAGCATTTTTTTCCCTCTTTACTGTTAATATTTCAGCCATAGAAAATGCTACAGGTCGACTGAACAAAATTGCCATAACATACCTAGCCTTGGGGATGGGTGAAGGAACAAGGACAACTAACAACAATCCCCAAAAAATATTTAAACATGAGGGAAAAGGTGAGAAAGGAAATCTAAAATGTTTAGTTCAACTTTCTTTAATCAATGGAGAAGTGAAAAGCAGTGAATTATTTTTTTTCTAACCTGCAAAATAAAAACAGTTGTTTAAAACACATATTGTGGAGAACTGTTAGAGAGTATTTGGATTCTAATAGAGACCAAAATCATATTATTAAGTACAGTAATTTTCTTTCTCAATAAGTATTTTATGTTTTGTGGGATATGGAGAGATGCTGGGGGAATATGCATGGGATGAATGTGGGTCCTGCTGTATAGGTGTAGGATTGAAAAGAGGTGCTATGTCCCATATGCAGAGAAGAGCCACAAAGATGGTTAGGAGGCTGGAGGCTAAAAGAATGGAGAATGAGGAATGGAATATGTCTAGTCTAATGAAAAGAAGGACTAGGAGTGACATGATAGCTGTGTTCAGTATTTGAGGGGCTGCCACAAAAAAGAGGGGTTGAACCTTTTCTCCAAAGCACCTGAAGGCAGGACAAGAAACAATGGATGGAAAGTAATCAAGGATAGAACTAACCTAGAACTAAGGAGTAATCTCATGACAGTTAGAACAATTAAACAGTGGAACAACTTGCCTGCAGAAATTATAGGTATTCTATCACTGGAGGTTTTTAAGAAGAGATTGGACAGCCATTTGTCCAGAATATTATAGAGTCTCCTGCTTGTCCAGGGGGTTGGACTAGAAGACCTCTAAGGTCCTTACAGCTCTGTATTTTGTAATGTGGGAACCGGCATGAAATATCTTCCATCTGCTTTGTAAGCAAGTCCTGGCTATCTAGTAGGTATGAAAAAGGAGAATTGTTTGCTTCACTAGGAGAAAAAAAAAACACGTAGAGTAGCCACAGTCACGTGTGTGCACTGTACACTTATGTACAATATTATGTACAATGAGAGCATATGCACAGAAGACAAATTCTTTGTGTGTTCAATCACACTTGGCCAATAAAGAATTATATTATAATCCATTAGTAGTTTAGAGGAGAATGCCTCTTTAGGCATTGATATGTCTTACAATAGCATGTCTTTGTCAAAAGTTGTGCAGCCTGGTAGTAATTCCTATGTTGACTTTCACAGAACTGACTCTCTGATAAGTATGACCTTCTAATAGGTGTGACCTTCTAATCTTGTTACAAAGCTGTAGCCAAAAAAAGAAAAAAAAAGGCCTGAAATCTCACAAAGTCTCTTTTTGAGCAAGATCACCAACACGAAGGATGCCAAACATCACACAAGGTGCCAGAAAAGTCTTGTCAGTTTTTAGCTTTATTAAATGGGATCCCATGGGATGATACTTCCTTGCCCAAGGTTTCACCATCCTGCATGGTTCCAGTGATTTTCTAGAAGGAAGGCAAAGCTCTGGTGTTTACTTCTGGTCAAATTCCAGTCTTAATTGAGTTGTTGGACAGAGAGCCTACTGAGAGGCTTAAAAGGATAAAACTGAATGAGCATAGATTGATATCTTTTTTGGTGGTGGTTGGGGATACCTCTGTTCAAAATTTAGTTGAATTCATTGAGATTTACTTCAAGGACAGATATAAAACCTCTATCACTGCTTGGAGATGTCCTTAGAAAGGCTATTTCTGTAAACGTTATTTTCCAAGGGAGGAAACTTCCATTCTAGCTTTTCAGTTCATCAGAAGGCATCACTTAGTTGACCTTGGCTGGCCCTCAGGAGGTAAAGCAGAGTTGGCTCTGGTTTGTATTTGAGTGGGAGACTCATTTTAACCCTGTAGACCTGAGTGGGAGGTTATAAAAAGCACCTTAAGCCTAAGTAGCACAGTGGATAGAATGCAGAACTGCAGGGTACTTCTGATGTCTGCTGGCTGCCTGCAATCTGGTAGTTCAAATCTCACCAGGCTCGAGTTGACTCAGCCTTCTAATCTTCTGAGGTGGATAAAATGAGGACCAGATTGTTGGGGGCAATATGTTGACTCTGTAAAACTGCTTAGAGAGGGCTGTAAAGCACTGTGAAGTGGCATATACTGTAAATCTAAGTGCTATTGCTATTAAGAAAAAAATAGCAATGAATCTCTTCTGTACCTTGGCCAAGAAAACTGTAACGGTCACCAGGAGTAGAGCACAACTTGAAGGAAATTTCATATTGCATATCTTCATGCTGTATGTCTATGGAGATTATCGGTCATCTAGGTAATGATAGCAGTGTTCCAATATTTGAGGGGCTGCCACAGAGAGGAAAGGGTCAAGCTATTTTCCAAGGCACCTGAGGGCCAGACAAGGAATGATGGATGGAAACTGAACAAGGAGAGATTCAACCTGGAAATAAGAACAGTGAGAACAATCAACCAATGGAAAAGAAGCTGCCTTCAGAAGTTGTGGAGGCTTTCAAGAAGAAACAGAACTACCATCTGTCAAAAATGGTGTACGGTCTCCTGCTTGGGTGGGTCGGGTTGGACTAGATGACCTACAAGTTTCCTTCCAACTCTGTTAATCTGTATCTAAATCATGGTTGTCCCAAAGCTGTTTTTTCAAGAGGCAACTGGACTTTATGTTGCCAGAAAGTACAGTTGCCTCTTGAAAAAGCACTTTTGAGTCTTTGTGCTTTAAACTTCTCAAAGTACATTCATTCTACCTACTTAAACTACATCATAGTTTCTATTAGAGTGTCTTGCATTATTTTATATTCTTTTACAACTTGTATAATGAGGGCATTCCTATAAGCATGATATGGTTATATGGCTGTTCCATTCCTCCAGTAGCCCTGAGAATAAATTATAATAATAGTCCTCAACTCAACTTTGAGCTACTCTTGTCATTGTAAACATCAATCAGTAAATGGGGCTTTTGCCAGAATGAGGATGTTCAACTATTTTAAGGAGCTTCCACAGATGCTATGTAAATTCTTTTCTGTCTCCTGAAACCATTTTTTTTGGCCTTAGAATCTGAAGCCTTGCCAACTGTATTATGCAAATAGTAATGGGAACCTAGAAGTATATCATACATTTTGGTTCAGTGTTGGAAAACACCCAGGGCTGGGTTTCTTCCAGTTCGCACCGATTCTCTAGAACCAGTTGTTAACATTCTAAGCAGTTCGTAGAACCGGTTGATAGAAGAAATCACTGGCCTAATCCTGTAAGGAAGGCAGGAAGGAAACATTCTGGTGTTGCTTATAGAAACTGCCTCTCCGTTAACCCTTATTACATTCTTGGCAGGACTAGACTTTCTGTCTCAGGAACTTCTCTGGAGGTTTTTTTCCACTCCTTTGCTGGTACTTTGCTTGTGTGGAGTGACCATTCAAAGTTACAATGGCACTGGAAAAAGTGACTTATGACCTTTTTTCACACTTAAGACTGTTGCGGCATCCCCACAGTCATTAGAGGCCAGGCGAGGAGATGCGTGCCTCGATATGAGTGATATTGAGTTAGCCACACCCAGCCAATAACATGACCACTAAGCCACATCCACCCAGTTACATGACCACCAAGCCACGCCCACCAACTAAGCCACACCCACAGAACCAGTTGTTAAAAATTTGAATCAACAGTGGAACATGTTCAGCTGGAAATCGAAATCCAGCTGTTGTTGAAGTCCGGTTTTCCTTATGAAAAACTACATGAAGGGTAGAACTGGAATGGTGGAAGAATTGTGGGTCTAGAGCCATCTCAAAGC